AAAAAAAAAAAAATTGGCTTGTACATCTTCTGTTATGCTTAGTCCTTAGTATTTCATGTTTGGGGTTACTCCTTTAAGTAGCACATTTTTCTAAATTGCCTTTCTAAACAATTGTTCTACTATAAAAAAACATTTGCCTTTTGTATTTTGACTTTTGTATCCACCAGCCTTGTCAGACTTTAAATAATTCTAATAAAAAATATGTGGATTATTTGAGGTCAGGTTGACATCATATTATATCTAATAGTGGCAGATTTATTTCCTTACTCCTTTCCCATCTTTATACCTTAATACCTTTTAATCCTTTTTCTTGTCTTACTGCACTGGCTAGGATATCCAGTATGATGCTGAATAGAATTAGTGACAGCAGGTGTCCCTGCCTTATTCCTAATCGTAAAGAGAATGCTCTCAATATTTAACAATTACGTATGATGTATCCTATAGATTTTTTGTGGAGGACATTTACTTGACTAAGGAAATTCCATTTCATTCTTCATTTGCCAGAGTTTATCATGAATGGATATTAAATTTTGTCAAATGCTTTTTTTCTCCCCATATCTTGAGATGATGACCATGTATTTTTCTCTTTTAATCTATTACATCATAAATTACATTAATCATTTTCCCCAAATATTAATCAAACTTGCATTAGTGAGAAAAAGGCAACTTGGTTTTAATATATTATTTTATACATTGCTGGATTCATTTTGCTTATATTTTCTTGACAATTTTGGCTGGTTATGAGTGGCAGGCAGGTTAGGAGTTGTATCCTTTAAAGGATACAAAAGGGAGCAAAACATAAAGAAAATGTTGTTAATATTTCAAATGCTATGGTGTTTCACTGCCACCTTGTGGCAGAAAGCAGTATCAGCAGTATGTGGCTTGAAAAATCTTAGGGTTTTCACATTTAGAGACTTTATACATCATTTAGTGAAGCTCTTCAGAGAAAGCCAAGGATAAATTCCACCTAAATGACACTGAAAAGTACTGGAAAATCTGAGCCTTTTTCAGATGCCTGTGGTTCAATCCATGGATTAGCGGCTGAGAGGCAAGCTCTTCAGATAGGGTTTCTCAATTTCAGCCTGGTCGTGACTCAACCCACTCTCACTGTATGCGATCAAGAAGACATCAACAGGAAATGCTAATCTCTACTAGAAAAATTACCTCAACCCTTTCCTAAAAGCACAGTGGACTCACAACCTCAAGCTGTGTTGTTGCTCTTTCTTTGGCATTAATGGGATATGGGGGTTAGTTTTTAAGGAAGCGGTTCAGGAGGAAGAGTTTGTTAAGATCAAGTGTTAGTGACAGGATGCTCTGGCTCAGCTGTTGCACAGTCCTACAAGAAAACTTTCTCAGACAGAGTCCTCAGGAAGAGGCTTACCATTCTGGAACTGTGTCTCTACCCGCAGGTACTGTCGCAGCAGATCCATCACCACAGCCTTCATGTGGCCTCGGATGCCACTTCGGTATCTAGGCAAACAGAAAAAGTCTCCACTGGAAGACCTGACAGACCAACACTACTAAATAATAAACCAAGAACCCAGATTTACTTTCTAGACTTTCTCCTGAACTGCTTTCCTGCTGAATAAATTCTAGGACAGGAAAGGGGCCAGCTGAGAATCAACTAATCAGATTAAATTATAGGCCTAAAATAAATCTGGCTAATAGAGACAAGATTTTTTTTAATGGAAAAGAGAAAAAAAGGAATACTAAGACAAAACAAAACCACTTGGCACTCCTACCTAGAAAACACCTTGGTTCACTTCCTGCTGCTAAACAGAATACCCTAGAGATGGCTAAGGGATATCCGAAAAATGTATGAGTATCTTAAAGCTGAAAATGTTCTGTAAATATTCTTTTAGTCCAATAGTTGGCTTCATAAGCTAAGAAGAATAAATGTCATACTCGGTGTTGTGCCAGAAGAAAGATAGTTTCATGTAAATTGCAAGGAAAAAGCAAGCAATGAAATATCTGTGCCTTAATAATTAACAGACAGATGTTGAATAGAAAGTCATCAGAAATATTGAGTATATGAGTTTACTCACAATTCTAAGATATTTAAGAGATATAAGGTATTTTCTAAGATATAAAGGCTTTCAAATGTATCTAAATCAAACCTGAGGTAAATCTCTTCCTAACTACTTAGAAGAAAGGAAAATATGGGATCAGACAAGTCTGGGACTCTGGAGTTACATGTAGCTACCTCTGTACCAGCTGAACAATGCTCTGAGTGTTCATGAAGAAGACTTCCCGTTCACATTTCCGGTTCAGTGTAGCTGCATGGCTATCCAGGATGTTGGCAATCTAAAGCATAAGAAAAAAAAATGAAGCACAACCCAACAAAGAGATCCAAAGCATGACAATTTCTATCTCCCACATGTTGGGAACAGCTAGCAATGTGCACAGTTTAAACACAAGACATTAAAAAACAATAATTATATAAGCAACAACTTTTACTTCTTTTCACCCTTTCCCAGATGAACAAATGAATGCATCACAAAAATTACCATTCTACCAGAGGCCCTGACAGGCAAGATATGCTGAAGGTCCAGGCCTAAACTTTATTCCTCACTTGCCTAGCTTTACTTCCTACATGTAAATTTGCTTTATAGGGAAAGGGTAATAAACATGATGCTGAGGTAGTAAGGAAGTCTCTGATAATATAACTATGAATATCCCTCTACTTTAATTCACACAGATACCTCTAATTAGGGAATAGCCCCAAGAACAAACCTCTGTGGAGTACATGGCCAATATGATTTTCTCATAACCACATATGCTTCATATTTCACATACAGTACTTTCATTACTGGGTTTGTATCCCGAGGCAGTTTTGTGAAGGGCAGAATGCTTAAAATTGCAAAAGCACAGCATTTAGATAGTAAGGAAGAAATTCTACAGTATGAACTCCAGCACAGTTGGCCAGATGAAAATGAGTGCTACTCTATACATACCTGCTGGCTGGGAAACTGACAGAGGACTGATGTGATGTTGCTAGCATACTGAGCCATTTCCTTCTTAATAGATTTCTCCACATTGAGGGGGATACGGCCAGAGACACTGGTCATGATATCTTGCAATTCTAGGAGAGGCAAGGAGGGATCACGGAGGGTCTTCATCAGCCGCTCTACCCAGTCTTTTACCTGAGAAGGAAATAATAGGATCCAGACAAAATTAACACAATCCCCAAAATAAATGATACATCTGAATGCACTATCATGTAGTATTTTGAAATGGCAACAGAAGTCTCTAACATGGTCCTTGTCCTCTGGTTTAAATCCCAGTTCAATGTGAAGTCAATAATACAGATAAGAAGCAAGGATTTAATGACTCTGAATCCCACAAGTAAAGGTTGGGAGAGTTTCAGGACAAATATTTTTTCTTTTCCTCCCTCTAAAAAATCCTTATGTGACTTTAAAACTGTCTTGGAGAACAGGTAGTGTATTTGTACATCCCTTCCCCAAGAGAAGTGATCATACCCTGCTGCTAAAGAAAGGGTCTGGAAGGCAGTATCCACTCATTACGTTGACCAGATTATCCAGGACATAATGGAACACTCGATGGAGCTTCTCGCCTCTGAGTGCTGTGCTCTGGATCTGTGGCAGGCTACCCGTGTGAAGCTCAGCCTGTCAACCCCAATGAGAGATCAGGTCATCCACTACCTTCTAGACAGCGTCAAAACACACCATTGCAACTTACATTCATCATTCAAAATCAAGACATCCTTGGCTGTACCCAGCTGTAAGGAGAGAAGTCAATGGAGGAAGCATCATGAGAAAAATCATAGAATCTTAGTATCATAGTAACTCTTGCAAACTCTAGTTCCATAATGCTACAGATGCAAACAAAAGGTATAAGATCAGGGGAAAATGCTTAAGAAAAAACTAGCAAACCAAGCATTGAAATCACTTGCCCCTCCACACTATCCCTACCATGTAATCAGTTCATGTAGAGCCATATTAAAAGTACCTTCTTACTCACCTGCTGGACCTTGCTGGGGTTGTCCAACTGCATTTTGGCTATTACACAGCCAGGGTCAAGAGCTGCTCCAGGTCGCTTGACATAATGGATACAGCCAGACTCTGCAGCTGTTAAGGTCATTACCATCTTCATCACCTACAATGGAAAACAAACTTAAGAGTTTGACCTCTGTTTACACAGATGAATGATTTAAAAGGGATCAGTTTTCCCCTTACCTTTGAGGTTGGACTATATTTAATTTAGCCCAGAAAAATAGGAATCTATCAAAATCTCCAAGAAACTACAAAGAAATATAATTAGAAAAACCTCTCATGACCTAGCTTTAGAGATTAATAAGTTACTGACTTTTCCTGTTTCTAATGCTTAAATTCATTTTGCCATAGTTAGTGTTTTCACTTGTTTTATACTTACAAATGATGAACCATTTAGCTTTCTCATCCCTATGGATCTATATGTTCAAACTAAAACATCCAGGCCAAAACCTAAGGGTCATTTTTTTACTTATCTACCTTACCCTTGTCTACCAATTACCAAGTACACCTTCTAAACCTCTCTCAAGTATCTTCCATCTCTTTGGTTTAGGCCCTCACCTTTCTGGCCTGGAGTACTTTAAACACCTCCTAACAGATTTCCCTACCTGCTATACACTGCCAACAAAGTCACTTAAAGCAATCATTCTAGAGACCAGACTTCATGAAATCACTCTTCAATGTAAGATCCTTCAATGACTCCCAACTGCCTTCATAATAATCTAAACTTTTTAGTATGTCCTTTGAAGTACTTCATGATTGCAAATTTTGATTACTCATTTAGTATCTCTGCTTGCCATTTCCCATTAAACCTCAGGCCACTCTCAAGCAATACCAATGTATAATAGTTACAGTTCCTAAATAGGCCATTCTCTTGCTTCTGTGCCTTTATGCGTGCTGCTCCTTCACTTTTAAACATTCTCCCTGCCCTTCGTCCCTGGTGTATTACCATATATCTTTCAAACTAAGATCAAAGTCCCCTCTTTCAGGAAGTCTTCCCCTACTATCCACCCATATCCACACAGCCTCATACCTGTTTGGGTTAGGTGACCCTCTGCCCTCTGTGCTTAGCTCTCTCAGAATTCGTATTTCATTACTTGTCTGTTTTGTGGCCCCATTCCACCTACCTCATTTTTCTCTATAACCAGCGCTAGCATGACACCAATTATTCAGTAAGTGCTATTGCCCAGTGTGTATTTTTAGAGCTAAAGATAACTCATCTGTGAAAAAGAAAAGGGTAAGCTTTTTGTTTTTAAAGTCTTAAGGTTTATAGCCCAATTAAGTCAACTGGTGCTTTTTCCTTTTTATTTTCCATTTCATTTCTGTTACTCTTTGGTCCTAATCCATATTGGCAAACCCTTTTCCTACTTTCCCTCGCATGTCCCAGCAGCCCAGGCACCACTCTGACCTCTATCTCAGCATAGCACTGGCCAGCAAACACATGGCCTCCATCTTCCACAATGTACTGGATTAACTTCCCAGCAGAAGGTGAGCGCATCACTGAAGGGTCATTTTCCTTCTCAAACACACAGGTTTTATTGCCAATTGTGATACGATATCTGGGAGATAAGAGGGAGTATGTAATGAGGTGCCAATAAAGCACCTCAGGTTATAAAGGAGAATGATAAAATAATGTCAATTAAAAAAAGAACAAAAACAAACTGAAAATTTAATTCTATACACAAACATGCACACAGGACATTCTCATTCCATCTTTGTTTACAATGCCAAAATTTCCTTCAATAAGGGTCATATTAAATAAATGATAGTATACCCATATAATGGAATACTTATAGAGCTATTAAAAAGAGCAGGCACAACTACTTAAAAACAAACATGAATACCATGATGATGTAACAGCTAACATTTTTTGAGCACTTACTATGCCCCAGGCGATGTGGTAAGCACTTTACAGATGTTAATTCATTCATTTACACTTTAATTCACTGTCACTACACTGAATGACTGGTGTCATACAGTCTACAATATATATGCTAAAAGAAAAGGTAAGATCCAGAATGGTACCTTAAAGGTTATTTGTGAATGTATTTAAAAGAAAAACAGTATATACATATGTAACTTGTATATGTATGTAAAATTTCTGCAAAAATATAAGAAACTGTTAACAAGTTGGTGCTTACAAAGAGGGAAGCTTATTTTTCATTATCACACTGAAGAGAGATGATGCTTTTAATTATAAACACTTTTTATACTCTTGAATTTTTGATAAGTGGATGTACTTTTTTTTTTTTTTAATTATAAAAGACTACCAAAGAAGGCCTTGAAAAGTCCCAAGAACCAACAACTACTGAGAGGAAAAGTTCATAACAATGACCAGCAAATAGACCTCAAACAGAAACTTACCTATCCACTTCCTCCTTCATGTATGTGGTGTAACTGCTGCCATCATAGGACAAGAGCAGTCCTCCGTCACTCAGCCGATGCACATCTACTTCTACACATGAGCTGTTCATGATCACCACATAGGAGTTGGGGGACTGTCGAGTCACCTGTAGACAATGAGAACCAGAAGGGTCAAAGTCAGTGTGTCCCTTCCAGGTGGAGCCCCAGGAAAAAAAATTTCAGTACCTCTAACACATAGGTAAGAAAGATCTGTCAGAGAGGAAGGAAATTCATGGCACTAGTGCTCTTAGCATCAGTGTCTGTGGGCATGGCTCAGCCCTGCTACAAACAAAATAGGGCGACCTTACATGCTTCTACCTGGTTTGTTTGTTTTCTGTCTCCCTTATTTCTTGGCTGCAATGTCAAGTTGAGGAACAACTAAATCATCTTCATAGAATCATCAAATACTGCTTTAGGCTATTGACACCAGTAATGACTGCAATTTCACTAACACCCAGCCCTGCAGAAACTAAAATATCTCCCCATTTCTTGACCTAAAGAAAGCAAGCTAACAAAGACAAAAGGTTAAGGTGTAGGCTTCAGTGGCATTCAGCATACCTTAAGTACATACTTGACTCCCTCATAGATAAGTTCAACATCCACTGTATTCAGAAGTGTATGAGCAGGAAGGACTTGACCCCTAAAAGAACAATAATGTGAGAGACACATGATTCTAGAAAGTTCTAAAAGTTTTAGGGAATTTCAAAGGTTATTGATTATATACCATTTCCTAGAATATCAAGACTGGAAACGCCTGAAGGACCATCTCTAAGGGACTAACACTGATACATAAATTATGAAAAAGCCATAATAATAGAACATCATGCAGTCATTAAAAAAAAAAGAAGAAGTTTTTAAATATTCTCTGAAACATACTGTTAAATGAAAAAAGCAAGTAAAATTCTCTGGGAACAGTTTCAGAGTATGTAACCATTTGTGTTTAAAAAATAGAGGGTGGGAGGGGGCGGAGCCAAGATGGCAGCATGAGTAGAGCAGCGGAAATCTCCTCCCAAAACCACATATATTTTTGAAAATACAACAAAGACAACTCTTCCTAAAAGAGAGACCAGAAGACACAGGACAACAGCCAGACCACATCCACACCTGCAAGAACCCAGCACCTCGCGAAGTGGGTAAGATATAAGCCCCGGTCCAGCGGGACCCGAGCGCCCCTCACCCCAGCGCCTGGCAGGAGGAGAGGAGTCAGAGTGGGGAGGGAGAGGGAGCCCAGGACTACTAAATAGCCAGCCCTAGCCATCCACACGAGAGTGCAGACAGTGCATGCGTGGGGTCCTGGATAATAGGGAAACAGGTCAGTAAGATGTGTGAGCGGGCCCCGCAGCTGGCGCCCTGGGGACAAAGAAAAGCGAGTGCTTTTTGGAAGTCTTAAAGGGACAGGGACCCCACAGCCGGATGGAAGCATCCTGGGACACTTAGTCCAGCAGCAGGGAATCTGGGGAACTCTGGGCACTCTAACCCCCTGGGTAGCAGGGAGCCTGGAGGCCCCTCACGGAGATAAATAGCCTCCTGGCCATTCCCCTTCCAACGCAGTTCCACCATATTGGAGCAGCAGCCCAAGGAAGGCCACACACACAGCAACAGTGGAGATTAACTCCATACCAGCCGGGCAAGAATCAGAAGCCCCGTCTGCGCACAGCTGCCCAGCACAAGCCACTAGAGGTCGCTGTTCTCCCAGGAGAGGAAGGCCACAAACCAACAAGAGGGGAAGTTCATCCAGCCGTCACTCGTCCAGCTCTGCAAACTATCTCTATCGCCATGAAAAGGCAAAATTTCAGGCAGACAAAGATAACAGAGACAACACCTGAGAAGGAGACAAACCTAACCAGTCTTCCTGAAAAAGAATTCAAAAT